ACACTCCTTGACTCTTTCCGGTCAGGCGGAGGAGGATTGGGCGCTCGATCACACGCTCCGGGTGCGCAGGCGCGAGCTGCCGGGGGGGTGCCGCATCGAGGAGGCACGAGGGGTACAGACCTTGGGGGCGACGACTCGGGGGCCGGTCAGGGGCTGACAGTGCGGGTGCCACGCGCCGGCCGTCGACGGGCGCCGTCGCGAGGCGGAGGGGGGGGGGGCGAGCTGGAGCCATAGCCTTCACACCTCCAGGTAACACTATGTCCCGGGACCGCCTATCGAGGGCATACAGGCGTGGCCGACGCCTTGCACGCGGTCTCCCGTCACACTTGCCTCCCTATTCCCCACACACTTCCGTCACAATGCCGTCCCCTTCACACTCTCCCGACACACACTGCCTACCTTTAACACTCTCCCTTCACACTCACGTCACAACTGCCTAACCTTCGGCACGTAGCCGGGTTCCGCGGTGTCAGGCGAGGCGAGCGGGCGGAGGGGGTGCGCCGAATGCGACACCTTGCTCGGGGGGGGGGGGGGGCGCGGTGGCAGGGGGCGGCTATCGGCTAACCGTACAGGCGACACCCGACTGGCCATGCGGGTGGGGTGCCGGGGGTCAGTCACGTGGGGGCGGGGCGGGGGGGCGCGCCCCTTAGCCCTGCTGGAGCGCGGGCTGACGCGACACAGGCGCGAACGGCGCTGAGCGACGTTCGAGCGCCGGGAGGCACACTGTCGCTCGCGGGCAGTCAGCTCTGCCGCTTCAGGCATAGTGCTGCGAGCCTGCGGGGGGGGCTCCGTTCCACACGCCTACCTTCGAAGACTGTGCCTGCCGCGTTGGAGATGGCAGCGTGCCGGTCAGTCAGGAGAGCGGTGTGTGTCCGTGACCGTTCAAATCGCCGACACGGGGACATTGCCGGGGGGCGGGCGGGCTACGACAGCGAGGGTGTGCGCGGGTACTGCGGGGGGCGGCGCAGAGGCCCGCAGGGGGGAGACACCCCGGTGGCGGGGGCGGCGGTAGCACACGGACCTATCGCCAGTCACACTCCTGGGGCGCGCACCGAGCGCCAGGGACTTGTGCGCGGGGCGGATCCCTTCACCACGATGGACCGTGTCACGACTGGTCATCCCTTCACACAGCTCGGGCCGGTCGAGCACTGCCTAAGACTTCGGAACACTGCTTGGGGGGGGGGCTCGGGGGGAGGGAGGGCTCGTCGGACACTACGCTCTCCCTTCACACTCTTCCCGCACACTGTGGCCGGGCGGCTTTCACAGCGTGCCTGGCGCCTATCACACACCTGGGGCGTGGTCTAGGGGCGTGGGGGGGCTCGCTCGGTGCGACGAGCAGCCGGTAGCGGGCGGCTTCACACTCTCCGTGGGGTCCTGTCAGCATTGCGCGGGGGGGGAACCGGTGGGTGGAGCACAGGCTCGGGTCCGCCTGTCATTCGCAGCAGCGGGTGAGCGCCGCTGGAGCCGTGTCACCCACTCCGGGGAGCACACTGCGGGGGGGGGGGGTCGGGGCCGGTACTGAGGGCGGACTGCTGCGGCGGGCGGCAGCATGCCTCCCCTTCACACTCTCATCCGTCACAACTGCCTCCCTTCACATTCTCCGTCACACTGCATACCTTCACACTGCCCTACCTTTCACCCACTGACTACCTTCCCAGCGTCTGGCGGAGCGGGTGCTCCCCGTCACACTACACTGCCTCACTTCATTTCCACTCCGACGTCACCTGCCTCCATTCACACCCTCCCCACACTACCAATCTTCCCCTTCACACTCTCTTGTACCCGTCACACCTGCTACCCATCAGACACTCTACCGACTACTACAATAACCGTGCACACTGCCTCGCCTTCAAGCCTCTCCTCTCCCCTCATCCCGTCACACTCCTCCCTTCAACACTCTCCCCCGTCACACTAGGCCCTCCCTTCACACTCCAGTCACACTGCCTTCCCTTCACACTCGCGCACCCCGCCACACTGCGTACATTCATACTCACCCTTCACAACAGCTTCCCTTCACACTCCCGTACACACTGCCTACGCTTCAAACTTCCCGTCACAACTGCCATCCTTTTTCTCAACACCCGTCACACTGCCTACCTTCACACTTTTCCCGTCACACTGCCTCCCTTCACTCTCCGTCACACTGCCTACCTTCACTCTCTCGGGGGTGAGTGGCCGCGTCAAAGCTCGAGTCCGAAGACCGAGGTTGCCAGGGGCCGCTTCACACTCGAGCGGGGGGGGGGCGCGTCAGCACTGTCGGACCGGCGAGGGGGCGGACAGGCAGTGCGGGGGGGGGGGGGGACGGCATGTACGGAGCACTCTCCGGGGGCGGTTTCACACTGGCTGGGGAGCCCGGATGCATGTCACGCCGTCGGACAGGGGCACTGCCTGCGCCAGTCAGCAACTCACGGGGGCGGGGCCGTCGAGCGGAGCGTGCGCAGCCCGTTCAGGTACTGGCTGGGGGGGGGGGTGGGGGGGGGGGGTCCTCCGTGGCGAGCACGTGCCGGCGAGCGTCGGCGCGATTTCACACTCTCTCCCGTCACAACTTGCCCCCTTCACACTCATGTCACACTGCCTCCCTTAACACTCTCCCCTCCCTTCGCACACTCATCCGTCACAACTGCCTCCCTTCACACTCTCCTCCGTCACAACTGCCCTCCCTCAAAAACCCTTTCTCCCCCCTCTCCCGTCACAACTGCCTCCCTTCAACACCCTCGCCGTCACAGCTACCACCCTTCCACACTCGTTCCGTCACAAACATAACTGCCCCCTTTCACAATACCATCACACTGCCTCCCTTCACACTCATCCCCGTCAGCAACTCACTGCCACCCTTCACACACAAAGTCAACCAACTGCCTCCCTACACACATCTTCACAATGCCTCCCTTCACACTCTAACGTCAACTGCCCTACCTTCACACCTCCCCGTCACACTGCTCCCTTCCCTCTCCCGACACACATGCCTACCTCACACTGCTTCCCTTCACACTCCCGTCACACTGCCTCCCTTCCATCTCTTCCGCTCACACTGCCTCCCTTCAACACTCTCCCGTCACACAGCCAACCTTCACACACTTTCCGTCACACTCTGGCTACCATCACACTCCCGTCACCATGCCTACCTTTCACACACCGACACACGTGCCACCTATTCCAACACTCTCCCGTCCACACTGCTTCCCTTCACATCACTCCCGTCACAACTGCCACCCTTCACACTCTCCCGTCACACTGCCTACCTTCACACATAATAAATGGCTATCTTCAGAACATACAATGGTATAAATCATATTTATATTATAAATATAAAAACTGTCACTAAATAAACTGTAAACACAACTACTCTAACTTATATATATATCTTAATAAAAAATTGAACATCAAAATGGTATACAATACCGACAGGTTGTTAGGTAAGACACATATGCAACAGTTAGACAACTTTATTCCGAAACGTTTCGCCTACACAGTAGGCTTCTTCAGTCGAATACAGAAAGTAGGCAGGAACAGTAGAGATGTGAAGACGATGTAATCAGTCCATCACCCTTAAAGTCGTAGAATTTGAGGTTGTCAGTCCCTCGGCCTGGAGAAGTTCAGTTCTGTATTCGACTGAAGAAGCCTACTGTGTAGGCGAAACGTTTCGGAATAAAGTTGTCTAACTTTTTGCATATGGTCTTCCCTAACAACCTGTCGGTTTTGTATACCATTTTGATGTTCATCTTGTCAGACACTGCAACACGTGGCATCTTGGTACAGAAAACACCTTGGACAAGCTTTTCAAGTGAGAAGGGTTGGATCTGAGAGGGACATGACCTCTCAGTTGCCTCTCACTATTTACTACTACTACTACTACTACTACTACTATACCCTGCACCTCTCCTTCCGACAGTATTTAAGTCTCCGCACTGTCGCTTGATCTTCAATAGTTCCTGACTATGGAACTGAACTTCTCCAGGCCGAGGGACTGAAACTCAAATTCTACGACTTTAAGGGTTTGATGGACTGATTACTTCGTCTTCACATTTACTGTTCCTGCCTACTTTCTTATTCGACTGAAGAAGCCTACTGTGTAGGCGAAACGTTTCGGAATAAAGTTGTCTAACTGTTGCATATTGTGTCTTACCTAACAACCTGTCGGTATTGTATCCCCATTTTGATGTTCATCTTGTCAGACACTGCAACACGTGGCATCTTGGTACAGAAAACACCTTGGACAACGCTTTTCAGTAAAGGGTTGGATCTGAGGGGGACATGACCTCTCAGTTGCCTCTCACTACTACTACTACTACTACTACTACTACTACTACTACTACTACTACTACTACTACTACTACCCTGCACCTCTCCTTCCGACAGTATTTAAGTCTCCGCACTGTCGCTTGATCTTCAGATAGTTCCTGACTATGGAACTGAACTTCTCCAGGCCGAGGGACTGACAACCTCAAATTCTACGACTTTAAGGGTGATGGACTGATTACATCGTCTTCACATCTCTACTGTTCCTGCCTACTTTCTGTATTCGACTGAAGAAGCCTACTGTGTAGGCGAAACGTTTCGGAATAAAGTTGTCTAACTGTTGCATATGTGTCTTACCTAATAATAAAAAATTGTTAGAGTATTTAACAGTGGCAGCAGCACTCCGTCAGGACTCACCTTCACGTTGATGTTCTCCGTCAGGACTCACCTTCACGTTGATGTTCTCCGTCAGGACTCACCTTCACGTTGATGTTCTCCGTCAGGACTCACCTTCACGTTGATGTTCTCCGTCAGGACTCACCTTCACGTTGATGTTCTCCGTCAGGACTCACCTTCACGTTGATGTTCTCCGTCAGGACTCACCTTCACGTTGATGTTCTCCGTCAGGACTCACCTTCACGTTGATGTTCTCCGTCAGGACTCCCCCTTCACGTTGATGTTCTCTCCGTCAGGACTCACCTTCACGTTGATGTTCTCCGTCAGGACTCACCTTCACGTTGATGTTCTCCGTCAGGACTCACCTTCACGTTGATGTTCTCCTTGGCTGAAGTTTCGTAAAACTCGAGTCCCAGCTGGTCTGCCAGTTGCTTGCCTCGCTCGTAAGAGATCACTCTCTCGTCCTCCATGTCACACTTGTTGCCCACTAGAATGACTTGGGCGTTGTCCCACGAGTACGTCTTGATCTGCGTGCACCTGTACAAGGAACATCACACATATACACACACGTGCAATTAACAGCCAACCTTAGTGGGACACTGCTTCTTTTTCCTAACACAAATAGTTACAGGTGTAGCGTACTCCTATGTAAGTCTGTGCGACAGTTACAATGCGGAAACACTAACAGTGTGCCGCTACCCTACTCTGTATCATAGTTAACTACTGGGAACATTATACGCATACACAGTATTATAATTATGGGCGGAGCGCTCAACCCGTCAGAGACATATAGCGCCCGAGGCCAGTCATGAGAAGCATTCAGGTTTCTCAAGAGAGCAGTGGGAACAAAACCTAGCTAAGTTTCCCTGTCATATTTCATCACTGAGCATTCGTCCATACATCTGATATTATATTATATTATATTTACACACACATACACAAACACAACACACACACACCACACACACACACACACACACACACACACACCACACACACACACACACAGGATAACAGGGTAACCCGGATTAATGAAAAGCCAGGATGAGCCCATGGTTTACCAAAAGGGGCAGGGGGGCAAAAAACCAAGTGTGCTAGAGAATGGAAGAAATATAGAAGGCAAAGGACCCAGGAGAATAAGGAGAACAGTCGTAGAGCCAGAAACGAATATGCACAGATAAGAAGGGAGGCCCAAAGACAATATGAAAATGACATAGCAGCGAAAGCCAAATCTGACCCGAAACTGTTGTACAGCCACATCAGGAGGAAAACAACAGTCAAGGACCAGGTAATCAGGCTAAGGAACGAAGGAGGAGAGACAACAAGAAATGACCGTGAAGTATGTGAAGAACTCAACAAGAGATTCAAAGAAGTGTTCACAGAGGAGACAGAAGGGACTCCAGAAAGATGGAGAGGTGGGGCACACCACCAAGTGCTGGACACAGTGCACACAACCGAGGAAGAAGTGAAGAGGCTTCTGAGTGAGCTAGATACCTCAAAGGCAATGGGCCAGATAACATCTCAAAAATCCCATGGGTATTGAGAGAGGGAGCAGAGGCGCTATGTGTACCCCTAACAACAATATTCAATACATCTATCGAAACAGGGAGATTGCCTGAGGCATGGAAGACAGCAAATGTAGTCCCAATCTTTAAAAAAGGAGACAGACATGAAGCATTAAACTACAGACCAGTGTCACTGACATGTATAGTATGCAAAATCATGGAGAAGATTATCAGGAGAAGAGTGGTGGAACACCTAGAAAGGAATGATCTCATCAACAGCAGCCAACATGGTTTTCAGGGACGGGAAATCCTGTGTCACAAACCTACTGGAGTTCTATGACATGGTGACAGCAGTAAGACAAGAGAGAGAGGGGTGGGTGGATTGCATTTTCTTGGACTGCAAGAAGGCGTTTGACAGAGTTCCACACAAGAGATTGGTGCAAAAACTGGAGGACCAAGCAGGGATAACAGGAAGGCACTACAATGGATCAGGGAATACTTGTCAGGAAGACAGCAGCGAGTCATGGTACGTGGCGATGTGTCAGAGTGGGCACCTGTGACCAGCAGGGTCCCGCAGGGGTCAGTCCTAGGACCAGTGCTGTTTCTGGTATTTGTGAACGACATGACGGAAGGAATAGACTCTGAGGTGTTCCCTGTTTGCAGATGACCGTGAAGTTGATGAGAAGAATTCACTCGATCGAAGACCAGCAGAACTACAAAGGATCTGGACAGGCTGCAGACCTGTCCAGCAATTGGCTCCTGGGTTCAATCCCACCAAGTGCAAAGTCATGAAGATTGGGGAAGGGCAAAGAAGGCCGCAGACGGAGTACAGTCCTGGGGGGTCAAGACTACAAACCTCACTCAAGGAAAAAGATCTTGGGGTGAGTATAACACCAGGCACATCTCCTGAAGCGCACATCAACCAAATAACTGCTGCAGCATATGGGCGCCTAGCAAACCTCAGAAAGCATTCCGACATCTTAATAAGGAATCTTTTCAGGACCCTGTACACCGTGTATGTTAGGCCCATATTGGAGTATGCGGCACCAGTTTGGAACCCACACCTAGCCAAGCACGTGAAGAAACTAGAGAAAGTGCAAAGGTTTGCAACAAGACTAGTCCCAGAGCTAAGAGGTATGTCCTACGAGGAGAGGTTAAGGGAAATCAACCTGACGACACTGGAGGACAGAGAGATAGGGGGACATGATAACGACATACAAAATCTGAGAGGAATTGACAAGGTGGACAAAGACAGGATGTTTCAGAGATTGGACACAGTAACAAGGGGACACAGTTGGAAGCTGAAGACACAGATGAATCACAGGGATGTTAGGAAGTATTTCTTCAGCCACAGAGTAGTCAGTAAGTGGAATAGTTTGGGAAGCGATGTAGTGGAGGCAGGATCCATACATAGCTTTAAGCAGAGGTATGATAAAGCTCACGGCTCAGGGAGAGTGACCTAGTAGCGATCAGTGAAGAGGCGGGGCCAGGAGCTCGGACTCGACCCCCGCAACCTCAACTAGGTGAGTACAACTAGGTGAGTACACACACACACAGAGGGCCCAGTAGCAACCGGTGAAGAGGCGGGGCCAGGAGCTAAGACTCGACCCCTGCAACCACAAATAGGTGAGTACAAATAGGTGAGTACACAGGAAGATAAACAGACTAGTCGAAGAACCAAAAACGAGTAGGCACCGATAAGGAGGGAGGCCCTGCGACAGCACGAAAACGACAGACCATCAAAAGTCAAGTCTGACCTGAAGCTGTTGTACAGCCACATCAGGAAGAACACAACAGTCAAGGACTAGGTAATCAGACTGAGGAATGAAGGTGGGGAACTCACAAGAAATGTACAAGAAGTATGTGAGGAGCTCAATATGAGATTTAAGGAAGTATTTACAATGGAGACAGAAAGGATTCTGGGAAGTCAGAACAGAGGGGTACACCAACAAGTGTTGGATGAAATACTCACAGGGAGGGGGTGAAGAAGCTGCTAAGTGACCTTGATACCTCAAAGGCGGTGGGACCGGACATGTCTCCATGGGTCCTTAGAGAGGGGGAAGAGACGCCGAGTGTGCCACTAACAACAATTTTCAACACATCCACTGAAACTGGGCAACTATGGGCGCCTGGCAAACCTGAGAATAGCGTTCCAATACCTCAGTAAGGAATCTTTCAAGACTCTGTACACCATGTACGTCAAGCCCATATTGGAGTATGCAACACCATTTTGGAACCCACACCTGGTCAAGCACGTCAAGAAATTAGAGAAAGTGCAAAGGTTCGCAACAATGCTAGTTCCAGAGCTAAGGGGATTGTCCTACCAAGAAAATTTAAGGGAAATTGGACTGACGACACTGGAGGACAGGAGGGTTAGGGAAGATATTATAACGACATACAAAATACTGCGAGGAATTGACAACGTGGACAGAGACAGGATATTCTAGAGATGGGAAACAGAAACAAGGGGTCACAATTGGAAGTTGAAGACTCAGATGAGCCAAAGGGACGTTAGGAAGTATTTCTTCAGCCACAGAGTTGTTAGGAAGTGGAATAGTCTCGCAAGTGACGTAGTGCAGGCAGGAACCATACATAGTTTTAAGACGAGGTATGATAAAGCTCGTGGAGCAGGGAGAGAGAGGACCTAGTAGCTATCAGTGAACAGGCGGCGCCAGAAGTTATGTGTCGACCCCTGCAACCACAAATAGGTGAGTACAAATAGGTGAATTCACACACACACACACACACACACACACACACACACACACACACACACACACACACACACACACACACACACATACACACACACACACACACACACACACACACACACACACCACACACACACACACACCAAAACACACACACCAAACACACACACACACACACACACACACACACACACACACACACACACACACACACACACAGTGAAGAGGCGGGGCCAGGAGCTAGGACTCGCCCCCTGCAACCACAAATAGGTGAGTACAAATAGGTGAGTACACCCCACACACAGATATTAGGAAGTATTTCTTCAGTCAGAGTTGTCAGGCAGTGGAACAGCCTAAAAAGTGACGTAGTGGAGGCAGGAACCATACATAGTTTTAAGACGAGGTTTGATAAAGCTCATGGAGCGGGGAGAGAGAGGACCTAGTAGCAACCAGTGAAGAGGCGGGGCCAGGAGCTAAGACTCGACCCCTGAAACCACAAATAGGTGAGTACACACACACACACACACAGAAAACACACACAGAAAAACACACACACCAAACACACACACACACACACCAAACACATACACACACACACACACACACACACACACACACACACACACACACACACACACCAAACACACACACCAAACACACACACCAAACACACACACACACACATACACACACACACACACACACACACACATACACACACACACCAAACACACACACACACACACACACACACACACACACACACACACACACACACACACACACACACACACATGGATAGACAAGGAAAGCAGGAAGTGGGAGGTGCAAGTCAAAGCAGCAGAGGCCAGGATACAGAGTTTAAAAGAGGAACTGAAAAATCTGAAACAGCCTAAAGAACTAAAGAACATTTTGGGATTGACAACAGAGACTGCTACCTCAGTCACAAATAAGGGGACTGTAGGGAAAGAAGGAGCAAAACTGCATGGAGAGGCTCTATCAGAGGAGACTGTAGCAAATGAAAGAGCTAAGCTATATGTGGAGGCCCTAACAGACCACAGCAGAGCCCAGGGAAAGCCGAGAAGGGAAAATGACAGGCCACTGAGCCCAAGTACATTTGCTAGTGAAAATGAAGAAAGGAAAGCTGCAATGGAGGAAATCAAATTGAATGAGGGGATACACAGGGATATGCAGTGGGAGAATGAAAGGGTGAGGTCAGCCTTTGTGTATGGGCTCCAGGAAGTTGAAGGGGAAACATATGAAGCAAGAAAACAAGGGGAAAAAAAAGCAATTCAAAGCATCATGAAAGGAATAGAAG